TAATAATTGTGCAGTAAACCAAATGCAGACCCTGGGTCATTTTGTGTTGGCAACCTACTGTGTACACACTGAACCTGTGCATGTTTGTGTTTCATGTAGAAAATACATGCACAAGAGTGACTGTGGGCACTCGTGCATATCTGTGCTGTAAAACCAAAGGAGGGTTTTAACATACAGTATTGAAATTGAGAAGCATGCCAAAGTTTCCACGTACCTGTACACTTGTTGGGCAAATTGAAAAACCTCTCAAAGGGCGTTCCAGATTACCTGTTACTTGTCTCTGGTATCAAGCCCCTCTTCCATCTGCTCTAAGCTTTCTCAGCCATTCCCCAAACAACTCTGCTACCCTTAACCCTAACAGTCCTCAGTCCTCCAACAGGTGAAGGATTGAGGACTGTTAGGGTTAATGAGCACTCTATGCTACTTCATAGCATGGCAACTTGTAACCTTTGACCTCTTATTTACATGTATTGTATCTCTTCATGTCTCTTTCTCTGCAGGCGAAAGGGAAGAAGCCGTTATTTGTGCAATTTATTCTTGAAAATCTGTGGTCTCTCTATGACACCATATTGGTCAAGAGGTAATGAGCTTTGTTCTAATCTTTGTTTGCAGCATGTAGAACCTCAGCTCTGAGATAGGCACCAGTTTTACTGCATTTGTAGTCAGAACTGTGTTTAGTTTATTAACCCTAACCCTGCCAGAAGCAACATAGTGCATCAGGCAAAAAGGTCTGGTGCGCTTTGATGCACTTGGCAATCAACAGCAGCCGAACAAACTGGCCAGGTTGAGACAATCGGAGCTAGTCCCATTGAACAATACCACTGTTGGATCTTGTGGTGACTTGCAACCACAGACTCTCAGGCTGTTTGGCCCTAGGGAGGGTTGACCCATTGGATCTTGTTATACTGGGCAGGCGAGCCACTTTGACAAATGATGCAGGCTGATGTGTCTGGCAGGGTTTCTTGCCAAGCACCCTGGGAGGGTTAGGGTTAAAGGCATCCTTCCTGTGCCCAATCCTAGACTGAAGGCAAGAGCAATTCCTGCAATGGCGTGTACATGTACGTGTCAATGCATCGGACATGTATGATCAGTAAGACATTTTGGTTTGTACCAGTGCTTACCTGCTTGTCCCACCTTTATAATTTTGTTCTTTTTTGTACGGTTAGCTGTGAAGTTCTGTGCTGTCACTGTGACATATGGATATGCTGTCACTGTGACATATGGATATGCTGTCACTGTGACATATGGACATCATGACAAGACTGGTATTCTGTCCAAAATATTGGCCAGGGCATGTAAAAACGCGAAAGTGCAAGGGACTATGCAGTCACAGTGCTGAAACCAGTCATTTGGCAAAGTCATATTTAATGACGGCATCATGTGCTATATAGTTGTTTAGTCTCATGAAATCATGAAATATCATGTACATCATGAAACAACCCTTACATTATTTTCTATCAGTATTACTTCACTTTAGTGATTGCCTACTATGTATCGATTTTGTAATCCTTTGCTTTCACTATTTGCATCCAGGGGAGTAAATCTGAGCTTTGTTTTGTAAAGATGGTTTTTCTCTATATTTACACGTATCATCTTTCTCATGTCACACCATCAAGTGGACACTTTACCAAAACCTGGCTTTCTGAAGCAGATAATTTGACACTTCCTCAACTTTGTGATTGAATCAAATTTTTTTTTGGCAGAGACAAGGACAAAATGCTGAAGATCATTGATTCCTTGAACCTGAAGATTGCAGCTCGTGACTTACGGCACAATGACCCCAAGGTGCATCTGCAGGCAATCTGTGCACAGTGGCTACCCCTTTCCCAAGCCGTGCTCTGTATCCTTTTGTATAAGAACAGGCCAGTAGTATTTTGGATTGGTGTGCGGTCATTTCAGAATTGGCCGCCCATATTGCCTCTAGGGAGTGCATATTACAACAGAGTGCCAGATCTGTAAATCTGTGGCACCTTATTGATTCAAGGAAATTATCAGCAGTTTAGAAAAAGTGAAGATTCATTTTTCTTAATTGTTCTGGAAAATAGTCAGATGGTACAGAGCGTGGAGAGTGTTCAGTTGTTCATAATCTCTGGGTCTCAAGATTTAGATGATTCAAATCTATAATTTGTCTGATCATAGGCAACGGTCGCGTATTTATTTCTTTAACCATCAAACTCTCGCCACACAGCCATGGTATGTCAGAAGCTGCCCAGCCCATTAAACATTGATGCTGTCAGGATAGAGAAGCTCATGTGTGCCGGCGGTAGACGATTCAACACTCTACCTCCTCAATCACAGCTGCTGAAATCTGGTAAGACAGACACCTTATCTCTTTGTCTGAAAGCTTTGTTTGTCTGTGTTGAAACTATCCATCTTGTATTCCACCTGTGACGAAACCAAGAACCCAACAATACCCCTCCCATGCTCTTGCCTTCCCCCCCATCCAAGCGCTAGTCCCCTGCCCTACCCCAATCAAGTAAATAGCATTACTGCAGGGGCAGTCTTGGACCTGAGCTGTAGCACCCAGTGTTGTAGTCGAGACCAGGCACAAGACCAGGCATAAGACCAGACACAAGACCAAACGCAAGACCACCCACAAGACTAGTCACAAGTAACAGGGTGAACAATGCCGAAGGAATCCTTTTGTTGCAGTTCATTTGAATAGGTTGTGGCTTAAATTCAGACTGGAGGTCTTATGTTGGTCTTGTGCTGGCCTTGTGTGGTCTTGTGAAGGTCTTCAGTGGTCTCGACTACAACACTGGTAGCACCCTTTGGTTTGAAAAGGCATACTATGCGTGAAAACCAACTGCCCATCAACATCCCAGGGTAGTGATGGCTCCTACTTTAAGGTTTGCAGAATAAGCCTGTACTGAAACCCACTCCGCCCCATCCCCAA